CGCAGCTGGAGGTGGCTCCCACCGGCAACTGCGCCCTGAACGCGCCGGCAGGAGATCTGGCTCCAGAACCGCATCACTGGCCAGGCGCCGTTGATCGTGGAGACCAACGGCGTGGTGACCACTGCTCTCTCGGACAAGAACGCAGATTTGGAGGAGCTGCAGGCAATCTTCGACCGCGCCGCGCCCAAGCGCTATGACCGGGCCGACACCGACCAAAAGGACAGGCTGGGCTTCTTGGCCGAGGACCTGCAGCATGGGGGCGTCACGGGGAAAACGAAGTGGGGCGGTAGGAGCTTCTCACGTTGGATTACGGCAGTCTGCAAACGGCTGCAGGCCAGAGTGGAGGCGTTGGAAAACAAAAGGCAGGGTTAAGTCTCGGGCCGCACGACCGCTCTCGCATTGACGATGGAGGCGATCTCCCGGCACAAGTCTGGCGGGATGCTGTACAGCTGGCCCTGGGTGTGGCAGTTCTGCACTACTTGGCCCTCGCGGAGGAAGGCGCCCCTCTGCGCCACCTCAGGATGGCGACCCTCTTCCCTGGACATGCTCGCAGCGGTAGCCGCCAACGCCGCAGACCGGTCGCTCGGGCACCCAGTCCAGGTTGCTCCAGATCCTGGTGAGCTTGCGGTAAGGGTAGCCGTAACGCCATCGAGGTGCGGCAGCTGTGGATTATGGGGCAAATGTGCAGCCTTCTCATGGAGGCCCGCGACATCAAGCTACAGGATGCTTCTCAGCCTCATTGGAGATCTTCCGACGATTTTGTTGTGAGACAGCTGTGAAGTCCCCAGAATGAGTTTGATAAAATTCAGTTGACCTCAAGCGCCGGTCATTTTTTCAAGAGGACATTCCAATCACGCGATCACTCTGGGTTCATTCGCCGGCGGTCGAGTTTGGGTTGAAAGATGAAAATGGAGAGCCCCGGCAGAGGTGCAACGCTTTCATAAGTCAAGCCGCATGAAGGTCATATGTGGGCATTGGCAGCCTACGCGCCACAAGCGTTCAAATGGCTCACAATAAAAAGCAAAGAGGCTTTTATCATTGGGATTCTCTTTGCCAAAACGAGAATCAATGCGCTGGCAAAACTCTGGCAAATTTCATTCCGCGAAGAACAAGTGATGAACCTTGATCATTGTTGACCAGCTTGTGTCACGGTCTGGAGCAATCGGCATTAAGGCAATGAACTCAGAGTATCTGAGGCGTCTTTCGATTTCTCAAGAAGACTCGGGCCAGCTGGGAGGATTCTTGGCCCGCGGACCCAGTGGTGGAAGACTCCAAACTCCGCACTTTGGACACGGAAAACCGCGGATTTGCGACGGGTGGAGAGACAATTTAGCCAATGCGAGGTGTGCGAAAAGCACAAAAAAACTGCGGAATTCGCGTAAGGCGATTTCGGACCAAGTGGGAGGACATGGGGAATGCGCGAAACACAAAAAACTGCGGAATTCGCGCAAGACGATTTCGGGTCAAGTGGAGAAACACTCTAGCCGATTGGAAAGTGCGCGAAAAACCAAAAAATCACAGTAAAAATTAATTGGTTCAGATCCCTCTTCTGCACACCAACGAACCTCTTTTGTTTATTGATTTGTCAGCCTTTTTGGAGAAGAAGGTTTGTTCGAGATCCAGGTCAAACAAACAGGCAAAAAGCTCCACCTTGCTGCCTTTTTGAGGATGCGGAGTTGGGGCAGATTCTTCTCAGTGCCCAGCAATATGGAAGACGTGTTCTCGGATGGAGTTGGAGAAGCTTGCGTCACATCTCGAGGCCCACAGCTGACAGGCGATCCCACTGTGTCGTGGCGACGTCGCTGTTCTCAGTTGGGTATTGAAGGTCAGGTTACCAGAGTCACTTTGTTCGGGCGTGGGTCATTCACCGTAGATAAGATGTTGGATTATTCTGATCATTGCGTTCATCCTTTTTGGTTGTGACTCAGCGGGACCATCTGCGTGGGAGATGATGGGTGTTCTGATGAGGTGATGAAGAGACATGTCATCGGGATCATTCCAATTGCAGTCTTAAGGTGTCTGAATTGAGTGAGTCAGGAGTAGCTTTGTTGGTGCAGTGCGGCATGTGCAGCTGATAGGACCACATGTCAGTTTTTGGTTAGGCAGGTGTCTCGACTCAGGTTTGCGGACATGTGACCAGGAGCGTTTTCGGTTCTCCGCGCGTAATGGTGGTAACTTGGTATCTGTAGTCCCGCTTGGTGTGTTGTTGTCTTTCCTCGGTGTGGTCTTTTCTTGTTGCGGTATGGATTTCGGTCTAGCAGTAACTTGTCTTGGTCCGGTCCATTATTTGTTATTCTTGCGCGAGGACGGACCACATGACGTTATTATACGGTCGCCCTTGAAGAGGGCACTGTGTGTGCCACCTGTTGTACATATAGGAATGGGGTCACTCCCGATGCGCTTGCTATTGTTATTTATTTGCATGTTGTGCTTGATCCTGTAGGGGGACAGGGGGGAGGGGTGGGGAGCCCTGTCCAACGAAGCTCCCCCACCCCATCCAGGAAACGTACCCGCATTGGCTCCTGGGTCCCTGAGGTTGCAGCTGGAGGGACTTCAGCTTTCATTTTCATTTGCATCTCATTCATGCTGTGCCATTCCTAGTGTCTGGCTCAGCGGGGCAGGACCCTTACCCCAACGTACTCATTTCATTTTGTTTTACAGGCATGCCATTCCTACTGTCTGGCGTACCTGTGGAATCAAAATCTTCATTCATTTTTTATGCATGTTTGAGCCGGCCTCCGCTTGGGTCAGTCAAGCCATTGCAGCCACATGTTCTTTGGTCCTGTCTGGAGTTCCGATCACCAGCACTTGCCCCGACAGAGTGTGTGTTTGCGTTGCACAGGTCTATACTTGAAGTGCGGGTGAGGCCGTGTGGGTCACCTTCTTATGATTCTTTTAATGTGCCTCGTTAGTGATGGTCTCAGAGTGTTTTTGCCTCCATGAGCTCGAGGTCTGCGACTCTTTTGTTGGGCGTCCTTGCGAGTCAGCTGCGCCCATGATTTGGAAAGCCGAATGCCAGCCGCGGGTGTGCGTGTCTGTGCCGAAGTGTGTGCTTCTTCATGCTTACCCTGGGCTATCTGCTCAATGCGGACAGCGTGTAGGGTGCTCGCCGGAGCTGGCATAGATGTTTTGTCTTACGTGCCTTCCATGTGTACTTTGCGTTGCGCCCTGGATGAGTTCTTAAGACTAGGGGTTTCGCGTTTGTGATTGGCTTGGACCATGTTATGGATGCGCAATACTTCAATTATGCCATCCACCAATGTGACTAAGTGGGTCACGTTCCATCAATGTGATCGAGTGAGTCCTAGGCGAGGCCGAGATCCAACCCCTGGGCAGCGCGCCCTAAAGAGGACAATGTGTTCATAGGACTAGGAGTATGACGTCCAGCAATGTGATGGATTGAGTCTTCGGCAAAGCTGAGATTCCTATCCAGCTCCTGGACAGTGCGCCCTAACCAAGACAATGCGCCCATGCGTCCCTCGGACTGGGCAGTGCGCCCTAAGAGCCTAAGAGGGAAAATGCGTCCCCCGACTATGCAGTCCAGTGCTGGGGCAATGCACCCTAAAAAGGACAATGCGTGTGATGAGTGGGTCTCCGGCGAAGCCAAGATTCATTTCGTGGGCGGTGCGCCCCTGAGGACAATGCGTCCATTGGACCATTGGACAATGCAGTCCAGCAACGTCATCGAGTCATCGGGAAAGACCGAGATGAAGCTCTTGGGGGAGTCTGGGGAAAATGTACCCAGGCCAAGACTGTTAGCCTGCTACAAGCCTTGTGTGTAGATCGCCTTCTACTTGACAAAACTTTTTACCCGCCCTTCCAGACCCTGTTTTGTAAGCCTCTCTGGCTCAAATTGTGTTCTTGTTGGTGTGGTTGGGTGGGAGCGGCGCATGGTTTTCACTGCGTTTTTATATACGTTGCTGGACAGCTCTGCCGAGTCACTGCGATACAGGGTACGTATGCAGGGTGCGGAGCAAGCTGCGAGAGGTGAACGTGCGAGAAGGGAAAGGCGGGCGCTGCCGCCGATTTATTTCCTGCAGGAGCGTGGCCTGCAACTGCTTCGAGAGCTCTTGCAACACCGAGAAAACGTGGCCCAAGGCCGCGATTATGCGGTGTACGACCAAAGGTGGAACCGTGCGCATGGACAGCGCGTTGGGAGACACCGAAGAGCCACGAGCGGGCTCCGCAGGAATGAGCTCGACGCCTACTTTCGAGAGCACTTGGATGCAGCCCGGCTTGCAGAGTGGACTGAGGCCTTGGAGTCCTTGGAGACATATGATCGGACCGAGGCAGCATGAACAGAAAGACGAGTTTTGCGGCGCCGCAATGGGGCCAGGTTGCTCCGCTCATTCCTTGAGCCCCTCGTCTTGAAAGACGACGTTGCAAGGGACTTTGATGAGGGCGAGCAGCGGATCGTTAACCGCGTCCTGGCAAGGTTTATCGATCTTTGGAGCAGCGCAAATGCCACGACTGGAAGTGGGAAGGCACTACTTACAGATCCTCCCAGGCGTACAGCGACAGCAATGGCAGCAGCTGCTTGACAGATTTGACCGGGGCGAGGATGCGGACTCCACATCCGGGTCGACAAGTTCCTCTGGAGCGGGCGACAGATGAAGAATACAAGCAGTTTTGGGGACTGGCTCAGGCGGCTCCCGAGACGGCGAGCACCTCCTTCCAGCACGTGGAACAATGGATGCAGATGAACCACGATTCTTCCTATGCAACATGTGGCAGTGATTTCCTGTACGACCAGGAGAAACAGGGTAGCAGACGCTCAACGCATGAGTTGTCTGATTTCTGGCAATGTCCGTCTTTAAATTTTCCTACGACTTTCCAGGACTTTCAGAATGCCCAGAATCACAGCAACATGGACGCCCTCCTGAAAAAGGACATGAGTCAGTGCCGGTCCCAAGTCCGGCAGCGCCATGCTTGACAACATCAGACATCACGTGTATAGATGCGTGGTGCGGAGGTGAGGTTTGGCGGGGACCACTGCCCGCCTGGAGTCCTGGTGTCGCTCCTTGTGGGCGCTCTGGGGCGAAGCATGTGGCAAGACGACGTTTCAATTTACAAGTAGCCAAAAGAGCCTACAAGAGAGAATGTCGTAGAGCAGAAGCTTCAGCTGCAGGAGGTACATGGTACAGAGACCGCTGGATGTCATGTGCGGATCTGTGCAGCCGCTTTGTTTCCTCCACGCGTGCTGGAAATTTTTCACAGGCAGTGGCCTGCGATTATTTTGGGGACGCCAAAGTCAAGCGCGTCTCTTTGCTATCATGGAATGCCGGG